CATTTCTAAAGGAAATCAACCCTGAGTGCTCCCTGGAAGGACAGATCCTGAAGCTCAGGCTTGAGTACTTTGGTCATATGAGAAGAGAAGAGTCCCTGGAAAAGAGCCGGATGTTGGGAAAGTGTGAGGGCAAGAGGAGAAGGGGACAACAGAGGATGAGATGGTTGGACAGTGTCACCGAAGCGACCAACATGACTTTGACCCAACTCTGGGAGGCAGTGGAAGACAGGAGGGCCTAACGTGCTCTGGTCAATGGGGGTCACGAAGAATCGGACACGACTTAACGACTAAACAACAAGTCATGTCCCAGATTCAGAGCTTGGAAGAGCAAATGTCTTCACGGACTACGATCCCGAGATCTTCCTAGCCAGCACTGTTGGGAGCATGATGGGTGCCGTAATCTGGAAAAAGTATCATTCCCAACATTTGTGCTTATTTCACTGTTTTCTGCGTGACCACTTTGCTTCTCTCCTTGACCCAGTGAAAGCGGGAAAATTGATTGAGAAACAACGTGTTCCATGAGCCATAGATAAGAGTAGGAGCCAAGTGGGTGGCTGGGAATGTTGCTGTTGTCTTCCTTATCTTTCCAGCAACCAGAGTGAGGCAGGAACAGAACCCACTGAGTTGTGTTGCTTTGTGGGTTCTGAGCAAAAAGTGCAAATCTGTCTCTTGATAAATGCCCAGCTGCTCGACTGGCATCATCATGCAACATCCTGGAGGCAGGTGCCAAGAGACCAGAACATGGACAAGGGTCCACCGTGAATGTTCATTGTGGGTCACCTTTTTAAAAAAGAGAGAAAATCTCCCAAGGGGTGCTCAAAGCAGTGCTGGATAGCTGAGTCCAGTGGTTTGGAGTAACAAACTCATGTGGCTGCTCAAACTAGCCACCTGTCTTGTGTGGAGAAGATTTTCTCTTTTGTTCTTTTAGTCTGATGAATAACAGAGGTACCATCACCCAGCCCCAATCTGTAGCTAGCCCTGCTCTGAAACCTGGCACCGACTAACAGTTGTGACCGTTTCGCAGCCTGAAGATGGCTTGGGTTCTGCAATGCAGGACTCTCCTTTTGTTACACCTTCTTTCTGGGCTAGCTGAAATCAGTATACTCAGCATCAAGTTAGGGAAGCTGTAGTCCAAAAAACTGGAAGGACAGATCCTGAAGCTGAGGCTTCAATACTTTGGCCATCTCATGAGAAGAGAAGACTCCCTGGAAAAGCCCCTGATGTTGGGAAAGTGTGACGGCAGGAGGAGAAGGGGACGACAGAGGACGAGATGGTTGGACAGGGTCATCGAAGCGACCAGCATGAATTTGACCCAACTCTGGGAGGCGGTGGAAGACAGGAGGGCCTGGCGTGCTCTGGTCCATGGGGTCACGAAGAGTCGGACACGACTTAATAACTAAACAACAACAAAGTATCAAAAAAAAAGGCTTCTTGCCTATCTCTGCCAGAGAACTTCAGACAATGACTGGGCCACCGACCAACTGGCAGAGATCCTATCATTCTGGATTCCCTAAGTCAAAGAAAGAAGCAAACATTTCCCTTCAATGTATTCGCGAAGGCTTTCAGGGTTTTTCGGGCTCTTTGGCC